CCCCCCCCCCCCCCCCCCCCCCCCCCCCGCCACCACTCTGCATCTCAGATACACTTGCAAGAAAGAGCTTGCTGCCCAGGTGTAGGAAGTGTGGTCAAGATCCTGAAGTCAGTGTCTTCTGGGCTGGCCTCACCTATGGAGGAGGGGGCACCTCACCCAAGGTCACCCCTTCCATGGGGCTACCCATATCTGCTTCCGGTGACTGAGTGAGCTGGAGGTAAAGGCTTGGCCAGTTCACTTGGGACATTCTAGCAGACAACACTTAGTCCAGAACTCCCATCCTGTGGCCAGAGCTTTGCTGGGCCTGTGTGACCATTTGGCTTCTCCATGCCCTGTCCTGTTTCTCCTTCTTCCTTCCACAGGTATAGATTTCCTGTCATTCCTCGACCTGTCTCGGCAGTGGCTGCTTCTGGAGAACCCATCCCGCGACAGTTGGAATAGGGAGGGGTGCAAGAAAGCGGTGATTAGAATGTGGGGTTTGGAGCTGGCTGGCGGTGGCTACCCCATTGGTGGGTGGAGCACAGACAGCCCCTAGCAGAAAGGAGATATTCAGTTATGAAAACTTTAACTTGCCCAACCAAAATGAGTCTTTTATGTCAGGGGTAGGGCCTTGGTTGAAAACACCTGAAATCCAGGTACATAGATATATGGGCAGAGGCCTCGACCATGTCTAGCTCCTAGGGATACCCTAAAACTTTTGAGCCTGCAGCAGTGGCCCATTCCCCACCCTCCCCCAAGAGCTAGCATTCCCTGGGGCTGGAAGGCCATGCAAAGGCCTCTCCGCACCAGGCAACACGTGCTCCTCTCAGGACCAGCCCTGACAGGTGGGAGGCTGGCAGCTGCAGGACAGGGATTTCAGCAGATGGGGTCCGGAGCTGGGCAGAGCCTCCGCACTGACAAGATACCGGGGAGAGCGACCTCGTGTGGTAACCCTCAGTAACTACACCTCCTGGTAGGTGTGTGCTCAGGAGTCCTCCTCTGCCTGGTTCTGGGATGCGCCTGAGACTCAAGTTAATTCACAGAATGAAACAGAAGGGATGCTGTTCTGGCTCAGGACCTGGCTTTCAAGGGGACTGGCAGTTTCCCTGTCCCCTCTCTTGGGAAGTGTGTTTCTGGGATGCCTGGGCTGCTCTGTGAGTACTCCAGCTCCCCTGCTAGGGAGGTCAGGATATAGGGAGAGACCTACGCAACACAGCTGAGCTGGAAGAAAGGTAAAATATTGCAAAAACCAGAAGGAGAAAAGAGCAAGAATCCAGAGAAGAAAAGAAGGCCTAGATCTAGAATCAGCCCTGGAGGCTTGTGTTGATGGTTCTGGGCTCAGAGGGACACGGGAGAAAAAGTCTGTACAATACGGGAGAGGGTTAGGGTTGGAGATCTGCATATAAAGTAGGGCCCTCAAGAATTGGGACCTTCGGTGGGTACACCAGGGTGGAAATCACAGAGGGTGAAGGGCTTCTTTTAGCCTTGGGTCTGGGTGAAGGGAGCAAAACAAAACAAACAAACAAACAAAAACAAGTCTCCCTGAGAATTTTTTTTTTTAAGATTTATTTATTTATCTGAGTTGGGGAGGAGGCACAGAGGGAGGGGGGGAGGGAGAGAGAGAATCCTGAAGCAGACTCCCCACTGAACCCAGAGCCCCATGCAGGCTTGATCCCAGGACTCTGAGATCATGACCTGAGCCGAGACCAAGAGTTTGATGCTCAATAGGCTGAGCCACCCAGGCATCCCTCCCCTGAGAATTCTTTTTTTTTTTTTTTAAGATTTTATTTATTTATTTGACACAGACAAAGAGAGATCACAAGCAGGCAGAGAGGCAGGCAGAGGAGGGGGAAGCAGGCTCCCCGCAGAGCAGAGAGCCCGATGAGGGCCCGATCCCAGGACCCTGAGATCATGATCTGAGCCAAAGGCAGAAGCCCAACCCACTGAGCCACCCAGGCATCCCTTTTTTTTTTTTTTTAAGATTTATTTATTGATTGATTTTTAGAAAGAGAGAGTGAGCAGGGGGAGGGGCAAAAGGAGAGAGTGAGACAGTCTTAAGGAGACTCCGTATTGAACATGGAGTCCTACATGGGGCTCGATCTCATGACCCTGAGATCATGACCCTAGCAGAAACCAAGAGCCCAACACCCAACTGGCTAAGCCACCCAGGCACTCCTTCCTTGCAAATTCCTTTTTTTTTAAATTTAATAAAATTTAGATTTTATTTATTTATTTGCCAAGAGAGACCGAGACAGCAAAAGCACAAGCAGGGGGAGCAACAGACAGTGGGAGAAACAGACTCCTCTGCTGAGCAGGGAGGCTGATGTGGAACTTGATCCCAGGACCCTGGGTTCATGACCTGAGCAGAAGGCAGCAGCTTAACCTACTGAACCATCCAGGCCCCTCTCCCTTGAGAATTCTGTGGGGTTTTTTTTTTAAAGATTTTATTTATTTATTTGGCAGAGAACACAAGTAGGGAGGGAGGCAGGCAAGGGGTGGGGCAGGGAGCAGGCTCCCCGCTGAGCAGAGAGCCCAACATGGGGCTCCATCCCAGGACCCCGAGATCATGACCTGCCTGAGCCGAAGACAGAGGCTTAACCCACTGAGCACCGAGGCGCTCCTCCCTTGAAAATTCCCAACACGACCCTACCCACCTATGAGTTTGAGGCTGGAATTCATAGTACCTATGTGACAAACAAAACAAAACAAAACCACCAAGAGACATGCACTTTATTTTGTTTTTTAAGATTTTATTTATTTGAGAGAGCTAGAAAGAGAGAGCATGAGCGGAAGGAGGGCCAGAGGGAGAAGCAGACTCCCCGATGAGCAGGGAGCCCAACACGGGGCTCGATCCCAGGACCTGGAGATCATGACCTGAGCTGAAGGCAGGTGCTTAACTGAGTGAGCCACTCAGGTGCCCCAGAAATGCACTTTTTTTTTTTTAAAGATTTTGTTTATTTGACAGACAGAGATCACAAGTAGGCAGAGAGGCAGGCAGAGAAAGAGGTGAGGAAGCAGGGGCTCGATCCCAGGACCCTGGGATCATGACCCGAGCCGAAGGCAGAGGCTTTAACCCACTGAGCCACCCAGGCGCCCCCAGAAATGCACTTTAAATTCAGACTCTAAAGAATTACCACAGGCAAGTTTCCAAGAATAAGAGTTCTCAATACAACAGCAAAACAAGCAAAAAGCAAAAACAAGCAAAAAGCAAAAACACAAGGAGAAAGCTGCTGTGAATTAGAAAGGCAGAAATGAGACACTGCAATATTGGAGTTGCAGAGACTTTAGTTATTAGAATCAGCAGACACAGGATAAAAAATTAAATGTGTTTTACATGTTTATGTAGATAAAAGGAGAAAAATATGAATGGGAACCAAGAGAGTATGAAAAAAATGATCTGGCATAGTTGAAAAAGAACCAAATAGAACTTTTTCAAAAAAAGACTTTATTTTTAAGCCATCTACACCCAATGTGGGACTTGAAGTCGTGACCCCAAGATCAAGAGTCACATGCTCTGCTGACTGAGCCAACCAGGCACTCCCCAAATATAACTGCTATAAATAAAAGCCATAATAATTGATATTAGAAATTCAGTAGGTAAATCAAGCAGTTAAACACAGCTAAAGAGAGAATTAATGAGTTAGGAGTTAGATATGAAGAAATTAAACAGAATTTATGGGGCAAATAGATGGAAAACATGAAAGAGACAGAGAATAAGAAACAAAATGTCTGATTGGGATTTCAGAAGAAAGAAAAGATGGAAAGAATGAGAGAGAAACAATATTCAGAAAAACAATTACTAAGAACTTTCCAAAACCGATGAAATTTCTAAATTCTCAGATTCAGGAATCCCAGTGAATCCCAAGTGAGACAAAAAAAGAAAATCCCGGCGTGCCTGGATGGCTCAGTCCATTAAGCACCTGCCTTCGGCTCAGGTCATGATCCTCGGGTCCTGGGATTGAGTCCCACATTAGGGTCCTTGCTCAGTGGGGGATCCTGCTTCTCCCTCTGCCTACCAATCCCCCTGCTTCCGCTTTCTCTCTCAAATGAATAAATAAAACTTAAAAAAAAAAAGAGATTTTCAGATACAAAAACAGAAAGAATTTACTACCACCTACAGGCTCTCACTACAAAAAATTCTGAAGTAGGGGTGTCTGGCTGGTTCAGTTGGAAGGCCATGCCCCCCTTGATCTCGAGCCCCACATTGGATGTACAGATTAATTAAATTAATACATAACAATGTTTTTTAAAAAGTTCTAGTGTTGGGGTGCCTGGGTGGCTCAGTGAGTTAAGCCTCTGCCTTCAGCTTGGGTCATGGTCTCACGGTCCTGGGATCGAGCCCTGCATC